AGCCTCGGGACAGGGCACAATACCCGAGGGACAGCACAATACCTCGGGGACAAGGGTACAGAGCCTAATGCCACCCGTGAGTCAGCGCCGTTAGCCCCTTCCTCATCGTGTTCCAGGAGACGCCGCTGAGGAACAGCCCCAGCCCGCCCAACAGCACCGGGGGCACGATCGACAGCGATAGCTGGGACCCCCGTTTCAATGACACCCCCTCCTCCGTCTCGCTGCCCGCCAAGAACAGAAAGAACTTCAGTCAGCTTAAGCGAGCGAAACCGTACAGTTCCCTGTTCCAGCGAGCGAAGGCCAGCAGCTTCCTGCCGGAGCGAAAGCAAATGGATAAGATCAGGAAGAAGAAAAAGCTGAAAAGGAGGGAAGCGGAGGTGTCTGCAGAGGAGGACTATGAAGAGAAGCTGCTGGAGCTGGAGGCAGAGGACTCTTACGCCGAGGCGCCGATGAGCCCCTCGTCCGAGGGCGACCCTCAGTCTGTGGCTGAGCACTGCTCAGTGTGGGACTCTGACCTCCCCTGCCGTGACGGCCGAGCAGACGGTGGAGATCCAGAGCGTGGGCAAACGCACGGTCATTCGGCAGGGCAAGCAGGTGGTCTTCCGGGATGAGGACGGCACTGGCGACGACGAGGACATCATGGTGGATTCGGGTAGGTGTCCTGGCTGTCCAGGTGCCAGTGGTACTGTTGCCAACCTCTTTGGTCCTTTGCTCGTGGCATGAGGACAGTGCCGCGGAGCACTGCCCGGCGGAGCTCGGGAGCGCTTGGGTTCTTGGGGGCAGGGGTGGGTTGGCCGCGTCCGCAGTAAACTGAGCGAAAAGCTGCGACTTTATAGAAGCAGCCGGTTCTCCTCCTGGATTACGGCCTCCCACGCACTGCTGAGAGGCCCTTCCCGTGCAAGAGAGGCCTGGAAAAAGCAGCAAAGTGCCTGTCTTTGAAAGCCAGGTAGTTAATTTAGCGCGAACGGAGAGAAAATTCCCAGTGTGGGCGGGAGGCATCAGCTGCTACAAACATGGCTTTGCTGCTTGTCTTTGCAGACGATGACTCCTGGGACCTGGTCACCTGCTTCTGCATGAAGCCTTTCGCTGGGCGGCCCATGATCGAGTGTAACGAGTGCCACACCTGGATTCACCTCTCGTGTGCCAAAATCCGCAAGTCCAACGTCCCAGAGGTCTACATCTGCCAGAAGTGCCGGGACTCCAAGTTTGACATTCGCCGCTCGAACCGCTCCCGGACGGGCTCGCGCCGGCGCTTTCTGGACTAGGGCGCGGGCGAGTGAGCCGAACTGCTGCTGCCGGGGCAGGAGGGCTGC